CAGCCCCAGCCCCAGCCCCAGCCCCAGCCTCAGCCCCAGCCTGGCGCGCCTCTCCCGGCCCTGGGCCTCCCTACGCCCACAGCCAATACCACGGTGACCGCTGCTACCGCCGTGTCATCCGGTGTGCCCGCCCCGCCTGCCGTCCCCACCACCGATGGAGCTGCTGCTGCTCCCGTAGCCCCTGCGGGTGTTGGGGGACCCTCACAGGCCACAGTCAGCGGAGAGGGCCCATTTGCCTGCCCTCTGTGCTGGAAGGTCTTTAAGAAACCCAGCCACCTGCACCAGCACCAGATCATCCACACAGGTGAGAAGCCCTTCTCCTGCACCGTGTGCAGCAAGAGCTTCAACCGGCGCGAGAGCCTCAAGCGCCACGTGAAGACGCACTCCGCCGATCTGCTGCGCCTGCCCTGCGGCATCTGCGGCAAGGCCTTCCGAGATGCCTCCTACCTCCTCAAACATCAGGCGGCCCATGCTGGGGGCGCTGCGCCACGGCCTGTCTACCCTTGCGACATGTGCGGTAAGTCCTACTCGGCACCGCAGAGCCTGCTCCGACACAAGGCTGCCCACGCCCCGCCGGCCCCCGATGCTGCCAAGGACGCACCTGCCTCGGGCCCGCAGCCCACACCTCCTTTCCCTCCCGGCTCCTACCTGCTGCCCACCGAGCCACCAGCCACTGATAGCGAGAAGGCGGCTGCGGCAGCGGCAGCAGCCGTGGTGTACGGCGCCGTGCCCGTGCCACTGCTGGGGGCGCACCCGCTGCTGCTCGGGGGCGCGGGCCCCAGCGGAACAGGAGGCTCCGGGGCAAGCGCTCCAGGCAAGACGTTCTGCTGTGGCATCTGCGGACGCGGTTTTGGGCGCCGAGAGACGCTGAAGCGACACGAGCGCATCCACACTGGCGAGAAGCCACACCAGTGCCCCGTGTGCGGTAAGCGCTTCCGAGAGTCCTTCCACCTGAGTAAACACCACGTGGTGCACACGCGTGAACGGCCCTACAAGTGCGAGCTCTGCGGCAAGGTCTTCGGCTACCCTCAGAGTCTGACACGCCACCGCCAGGTCCACCGCCTGCAGCTGCCGTGCGCGCTGGCCGGCACCGCAGGGCTCCCAGGTCCTCAGGGCGCGGCCGGGGGCTGTGGGCCAGGAGCAGTGGGCAGTGGCGGGGCACCGACCGAAGCGCTCAGCTATGCCTGCTCCGACTGCGGTGAGCATTTCCCGGATCTCTTCCACGTCATGAGTCACAAGGAGGTGCATATGGCCGAGAAGCCATATGGCTGTGACGCCTGCGGCAAGACCTTCGGCTTCATTGAGAATCTTATGTGGCACAAGTTAGTGCACCAGGCAGCGCCTGAGCGCCTGCTGCCGCCTGCACCTGGGGGCACCCAGCCTCCAGATGGTGGTGGTGGTGGTGGTAATGGTGGTAATGGTGGTGGGACCGAAGCAGCAAGCACGCTGGACAATGGGCTGGCAGGTGAGGTGGGCGCAGCTGTGGCAGCGCTGGCCGGCGTGGCTAGTGGCGAGGACACAGGCAGCGCGGGGGCTGCCGCGGGTAGCAGCGGGGGCCCAGGCCCTGAGCGCTTCAGTTGCGCCACCTGTGGCCAAAGCTTCAAGCACTTCCTGGGGCTGGTGACGCATAAGTACGTGCACCTGGTGCGCCGGACCTTGGGCTGTGGGCTGTGCGGCCAGAGCTTTGCAGGCGCCTACGACCTGTTGTTGCACCGCCGCAGCCACCGGCAGAAGCGCGGCTTCCGGTGCCCCGTGTGCGGTAAGCGCTTCTGGGAGGCGGCCCTGCTCATGCGCCATCAGCGCTGCCACACGGAGCAACGGCCCTACCGCTGTGGCGTGTGCGGCCGTGGCTTTCTCCGCTCTTGGTACCTGCGGCAGCACCGCGTGGTCCACACGGGCGAGCGAGCCTTCAAATGCGGCGTGTGCGCCAAGCGCTTCGCACAGTCCTCCAGTCTGGCAGAGCACCGGCGGCTGCATGCCGTGGCGCGGCCCCAGCGCTGCGGTGCCTGTGGCAAGACCTTCCGGTATCGCTCCAACCTGCTGGAGCACCAACGATTGCACCTGGGCGAGCGTGCCTACCGGTGCGAACACTGTGGCAAGGGCTTCTTCTACCTGAGCTCGGTGCTGCGTCACCAGCGTGCCCACGAACCACCGCGGCCCGAGCTGCGCTGTCCCGCCTGCCTCAAGGCCTTCAAGGATCCTGGCTACTTCCGCAAACACCTAGCGGCCCACCAGGGCGGCCGGCCCTTCCGCTGCTCCTCCTGCGGTGAGGGGTTCGCCAACACTTACGGTCTCAAGAAGCATCGCCTGGCCCACAAGGCCGAGGGCCTTGGAGCGCCTGGCGGGGGCGCAGGTGCACTGACGGGGAAGGATAACTGAGTGAGAGGGACCGCCGCTAGGCTGGTGAGCGCCCCCACTCCTTGCTGTCGCCCCATTCTTCGGAATGTCAATAGACTCGCCTTTGTCAGACGGGGCATCACTTCTCAAGACTGAATCACTCCCATCCTGGGCCTCTGACCTGCCCCGCCTCCCATCAGACACGAACTTGATGACCCTCCATCCATCCCCTTTTTGTAACCCTCTTCTGCCCCGCCCCCACCCCCAGCTCAGTCATCTCTGCTGGAGGTGGGGTCGGAACCACTCCTCACCCTGGACCGCGGGAATCTGACTGGACAGTGGAGTTTGAGCAGCGGAGCTGGGAAGGCACGAGGGGGACTGGGTGCTCTTTTGGATTGTGGGGGTGGGGGGTGGGCTGGCAGACGCGGCTTGTATAGAGCGGAGAATAATAAATCTTATCAACTGGGCTGCTGGAGTCTTTACTGGCGTCCCAGGGAAAGTGGGGATTTGTTGTTAAGTGGTGTGGAGTCGATTGCGACCCATAGCGACCCTGTTTAGGGTTTCCGAAGAGCAGCTGGTGAGCTTGAACCGCCAACCCTGCAGTTCAAACGGTTTTGCCGTCTGGCGCATTAACCCACAGCGCCACCCCAGGATTAAGTGGCTGCAAAACACCGTTGGTCCTCAGGGGTTTCATTCCGCTAACATCTCTGCCTCTAAGTTACCCTCTAAGTGTTTACTGAGATGTACCCTATTCCAAGCTTTCTAGCAGAGTTGGGGGTATGCAGATGAGCAAGCCAGGCAAGTCGTCCTCTCGTCTCTGTGTTAACATATCCAGACGCTTCCTGCCTGGTGTTTTCCCTATTGTTTATGCAGCCAGCATCCCCTGGAGCCACCTCCCTGCCAGCTCAGGGCTGGGCTCTGGGGAAACGGGACATGCTCATTGCTCTCCAGCAAGACACACAGGAACGTATACTGTGTCACCGTCACTGCTGTGGTCCAGCCTCCTGCAGACTCAGTCCCTGCCCTTCTGGGGTAAGAATTGGGGCGTCTTCAAAAGCCCTCTGACGCATTTTGGCGGTAGCTCCCAAGGTTAAACAGAATGATCATGTTGGGAGCTGTCTAGTTCTCGCCAACTCACGACTACGCTGTTTTGCAGTGTAGACTAGCACCATACGGTTTTCAAAGCCGTGACTTCAGAAGCAGCTGACCAGGTCTCCTACGTTTCAGTTAATGCTCCAGTGGTTGACTGTTTGCTTCACCATGGACTCCTAATACTACAGTTAAGTGCTGTCCAGTCAGTTTCGACCCATAGCAGCCCTGTATAGGATTTCTGAGGAGCGGCTGGTGAATTTGAACTGCCAACTTTGTGATTCAAACCAACCTTGCGCTCTAGTGCATTATCCTACAGCGCCACACAGTATTACACATTATTACAATATAATCCAGCAACTTCTACTCCTAGACATATATCCAAAAGACTGGGAAGGAGGTACTCAGTCATTCACCCGTGTTGCTTGCGGAACTATTCACAGTTCCTCAAAGATAGGAACAGCCCAAATGTTCATCAACAGATAAAGGGGTACATGTGTTGTATGGACACAATGGAGTATTATTACTCAACCGTAAAGAAAATTGACATGGTCATACATGCTTGACATAGCTGAAACTTGAAAACATGCTTCATGAAATCAGCCAGACCCAAGAGCCAATATTACATGATCTGATTGAAATGAAATTTCTAAAATAAGAAAGTTAAAACAAAAAATGAATTGTTATCAAGTGGCGGTAGGGATGGGAATGGAGAGTTTAAAACTTTGTTGGTTCTCAGAACCATGAGATAGTCTTTGATGTATTCCTGTGTTTAATGGTCCCATGTGTCTGAAGAGGAAGAATCCAAGTTCCTGGGAAAGATGGGCACCTAGGGGATCCATGGGTCTTCAATTCCAGGGTGCCTCGAGACTGAAGCTTAACAACAAAACCATGGTGCCAAGGAGATGACCTGGACAAGTCCAGTGGGACCCACTCAAGAGCCTCAGTCTAATGTGGTCACATGTTCTAATACTGGAGAGTCAGTGTGTGTCAGACCTGGTACCTGGGCTCAGAAACTGCACGAAGCATCACAATATGCACAATGGAGCCAGGGTTGGGGGCGCCACAGGGTGAGGGCTAGGAAAATCTCCCTGGAAATGGAGCTGATCCCTGAATGATGGCATGGTAAAGTCACAGAAACTTGCCAAGTGAAGTCATGGACAAAGAATTCTAGGTGGAGGGGCTGGAGTTACCGAGGGCAGCCATTAGGGAGAATGTCAAGACTAGTATGGCAGGCAGGAACACTGGTGGTACGGTGGGTTGTTATTGGTTGGTCACTGAAAGGTGGAACCCACCCCACCAGCAGCTCCATGGGAGAAAGATGGGGTCGTGCGTGGCAGGAAAGCTTCCAACCTTGGAAACCCTGTTGGGATGGTTCTACTCTGTTCTCTAGTGATGCTAGATGAGTCCTAATCCAGACTGGAAGGTAGTGGTTTCCCTTTGTGCAAGAAGCCCTAGTGGTGCTGTGGTGAAGGTGCTCCTTCTTGTCCAAAAGGTCAGCGGTTCAGACCCACCAGCTGTATTCCATAGGAAAAAGATGAGGCAGTCTGCGTCCGTCAAGATGCCAGCCTCGGAAACTCTCTGGGACGGCTCTACTCTGTCCTATATACACTGTTGCTAGGAGCCAGAACCGACTCAATGGCTGTGGTTAGGGTGGCTGGAGGGGGAGGGCCAAGCTCTGGAATTGTGCAAAGTGAGTCTGAAGAGGGGGGACCAGGGGGCTGAGCCTGGGGAGGGCTGGACGCTGAAGAACCTTGAATTCCAAATTGAGGAATTTGGACTTTTTTTTTTTTTTTTTTAAACAGGATCACAGATGATGAAAACTCGGTATCACTCACCTGTGGTTCTAATCCACATGTTACAAAAAGTTTGACTTAGTGGCGAATATCTATCAAAAGACATTATCTAGTACAAACTAATGGGTGTCTGGAACCTTTACAAGGGTGAACACTCCAGTCTGCATTCCTTCTGGCAGCCAGGCAACCATTGCCCTCTTTAGATGGGATACACACGTTCCAATTTGCAGTGGTTCCCACTATTCCTTGTGGGTTCCCAACCCTGACCGCATGTGTCAGCCTTTTCCCCTTGAGCCTGGCTACCTTATTTTATAATGTCACCGGCTTCCGTAGGCATTCGTGTTTGTAATCGCTCTCAAAGCAACGAGGAACTGCGGGCTGGCGACAAGGTTGGGATCTGTCCTGGAAGGCTTGAAGGTTGCAGATGACTGCAGTATGGGGCATGCAGGTGTTGGGAGGCTCCAGAGCTGTGGCTCAGCCTTCCAGATGTAAGATGGTTTAGTAGCTTGCTCTCCAAGGGTAGTAGCAAAGGGAAAGAAAGGTTTTGATCCCAGAGATGTTTAGCTGACTGGGTGGTACCAACTCTGTACAGGGCTTCCAAGGAGCAGCTGATGGGTTTGAACTGCCAACTTTTGGTTGCAGCCCAGTGCTGCGCCACACCAGGAGTCCTTAGGTGGCTCAGTGTTGTTGTTAACTGCTGTCAAGTTGACTTCGCCTCATAGCGACCCTGTAGAGGGTTTCCGAGGAGTGACTGGTGAGCTTGAACCGCTGACCTTGAAGTTCAAACTGACTTTGCAGTCCAACGCATTAACCCTCAGCAGCACACCAGGAATCCACTGGCTCAGTTGTTATGTGCCGTGGAGTCAGTTCCGACTCATAGCGACCCTGCACGGGGTTTCCGAGGCTGTTAATCTTTACGGGAGCAGAACGCCTCATCTTTCTCCCGCAGAGTAGCTAGTAGTTTCGAACTGCTGATCTTGCGGTTTGCAGCTCGATTCGTAACCACTACGCTACAGTAGAGGGAGATTAATACAAGATTAGACATGTAAATGACAGATTGATTTTCACTATCTGTGGGCTAAAGTCTCCCCGTTCAAATGTTTCTTAACCTTTCAATAAAGCCCTTTACTCCGCTTAAAAATTATTTTTGAAAAAGGATCCAGGTGTACCTGGCGGTGCAAACAAGACAGGAAACACAAGCATTCCAGTGCAAGTTCCCGTCATGTTGAGTATGAGTCGCCTATGTGTTATCCATGTATTACATTGGGCAAATCTGCTGCAAAAGACCCCTTTAAAGTGTTCAAAGCAAAGATGTCATTTTGAGAACTAAGATGCACCTGACCATGTTTTCAGTAGACTCAAATGCATGTGAAAGCTGGGCAATGAATAAGACTGAAGACTCGATACTTTCGAATTATGGTGTTGGTGATGAGTAAGGAATATTCCACAGGAGAAAGGGGAGGCTGTGTGTGTGCTCTGGGCAAAGATTGAGTGTCAGGAAAATCCTGCACACCGTTTCCACTCTGTCCTCAAGGGACGCTGTGAGTCAGAACCGATTTGAAGGCAGCCGGTAGTGCTGTGGCCAGAGTGAACCAATGTCTCTTGGAAGAAATACCGTCAGGATCCTCCTTAGAAGCAAAGATGGTGAGACTTCATATTATGTATTTTGGATATGTCATCAAGAGGCTGGAGAAGGCCATCATGCGTGGTAAGACTGAGGATTAGTGAAAAAAGAGCAAGAGCCCCAAGGAGACAGGTTAGCACAGCTGCGGCTGCAACAATGGACTCGAATATAGCAATGACTGTGCTTCCTTCTGTTGGACCTTAGGTCCGGAACCAACTTGCAGGCGCCAAACAACAGTGGGCTATTGCATGGGTGACGTTGGGTGAACAGAAAGGTGTGCAAATCAGCACAGCTTGTCAGTCATGGGAGAGCATTCTTTCAGCCAAACTTGCCTGCTCCCCTCTCATAACTGAGTCACCTGCAGTTACCATGGAGTTGGTTCTGGTTCATGGAGGCCTTGTGTGCGTCACAGTAGAACTGTGCCCCGTGGAGTTTTCAAGGCTGTGCCTAGGCAGAACTTCCAGGAATTGATCATCTCTCAAAACTAGTCCAAAGGAATTAACTACTCTGCAAGCCAGCTTTCCTAGAGAAGGGCATCGTGCTTGCTAGACAGTCCTGGAATAACAGGAAGGCTTTCGATGAACGGACACCACCATGGGTTCAAACAGAAGAAGGATAATGAAAATGGGGAGGATCGGGCAGTATTTCGTACTATTGTACATAGGGTCAGACTCGGAGCTGCCTCAGGGCACCTAACAACCACCACCAGGATTCTGTTTCTGGTATTGTCATTTCTACTTCCAGTGAGTCTCTCAGTGTGTCTGTTCTACTTCCGGTGAGGGCAACTCTTTCCAGTTTGCTCTGTGACCTCCATTCTCTTCAGGATCCCAGAAGAGTTGTTTCCATTTTCCAAGCTCTTTTGCTTGTTGCAAGGATGAGAGTGATGCTTTCCAAACTCTCATCTACCAGACTGGAAACTGGAGGTCTTTACTTCCATTTTGAAGATGAGGAAAAAGAGGTTTGGAGGTACAGAGTCACCTAGCGCTAAACTCCTGCTCCCCACAAGCAGACAACCCAAATATAAGACCATCAGAGAAACCCTTCAGAAAGTCCTTTAATCAGTATGGAAAGGGAGATTTCCCATCTCCGAGTCTTCATCTCCCCAGTACCTCAGTGGCCCCTCTTACCCCATACCCATCACATCCAAGTTTTCAATCCCAACCAGCCAGCCATCAGCCAAACCTTCTTTGGGATGGCTTGAGGCCTGGTTAGTTAGCTGTTTACTTCAAACTGGGAGTAGAGGATCTCAGAGACACCTGAGGCTACTTTGTAGACCTGGGAGACCACCGGCTCTGAGCCTAACACTCTTGAAGGGGGATATGAGGTGACTACTTTTTGTCCATGTTTTCAGTTGCCTGCAAAGGAGTCTGGGTAGGTTAAGGAGAAACCAACATAGGAGTAGGGGTAAGGCTTACACCCTTTGAGACCCCCATAGCTCTGGGTTGTGACTTAGGGACCCTCTGGCTTCAAGGTGATGGGAACCCAGCATCTCTTTAAGGAGGACCTTGTGGATGTCTTCTGCCAGAGGGTGGATAGGTATCCCACGTCCAGTGCAATCCAGTGAGGTAGGCAAACGATTCCATCCTGGTCCACCCTAGAGAGCTACCAAGATGGTCCAGGTTTCCGCAGATGGAAGACTGGACTTGGGGTATTGTGGCAGACCCTGATCCCATGCCTCCCACTCACCCCTGCCTCTTCCGTCTAAGTACCCAAGCTCTCTCATGAGAAGCTGTATCCTGTAGTGGCAAGTTGTGTTACACAAGGGCAGCGTAAAGAGGCGGCCAGTGGAGCCATGGAATGTAGCCTGTGGTCATCACATTTAGCTGGGCATCCAAGGGGCTGCAACCCTCTCTTTGTCTAAGTCTCACAGCCAGGCTGCATGGGTTGTGGGAGTCCTGAATGTCATCTTCCCCCAGCCTTCTCTTGTCTGCCCCCACCCTCCTGCCTTCTCCCCATCCCAGCCCCTGGAACTCCTCTCCCATGAGTCTGTCGGCCAGTCTACTGATTGGCCTCCGCTTTCACCTTCACGGTCTCCCCTCGCCCCTCTTGCAAGGTGTTTCCTGCCCCATACCCACGCCCCAACCCCTCGGTCGCTGACCCCAGTGGGCCACCTAAGTCTCCCAGCCCGAGGCCAAGCCCAGGCCCGGGTCCGTGGAAGTGGGTGCGCTGGTGCTTCCGGAAGTTGGAGGAGTTGTTGAAGGTACGATCGCAGAGGGTGCAGCGGAAGGGGCGCTCACCCGTGTGGATGCGGGCGTGGCCACTGAGCACCGAGGACTGGGTGAAGCCTTTGCCGCAGACGCCACAGTGGTAGGGCCGCTCGCCCGTGTGGACGCGCTCGTGGTCGCGCATGTCTGAGGAGCGGCGGAAAGGCTTGGCGCAGAACCTGCACGCAAAGGGCTTCCCCACGGCCGCACCTGCCGCCGCCGCAGCCATCACTACCTCCGCCCTCTCCTGGGGCACCCCGGGCCGCTGCTCCCCAACAGCCGCTGCTGCGTCCGGAGGCCTCTGGGAGGGCGGCGTGTCCACCCCATGTCGGAGCTGGTGCCGGAGCAAGGGCGCCAGGGCCTTGAAGGCTCGGGGGCAGAGGGGGCAGCGGTAGGGACGTTCTCCTGTGTGCAGGCTGTAGTGAGCTCGGAGGCTGGCAGGACCCGGGCAGCGGTGACCACACACGTGACACCGGCAGGGGTCTCCACCCTGCCCGCCACCCTCAGCCCCCGCCAGGTGGCCATGTTCGTGGAAGAGGAGGTCGGAAACCAGCCGGAAGGCAGCTGGGCACAAGGCACAGTGGAGGGAGCCCGGCTCTGGGGGCTCAGGGACCAGTGTGGTGTCTGTTACCCTCACGACCTGGATCTCGATGAGGTCATTCGGGGGTGTGGTGGGACGGTCATCATCGGGCACCAGGACCTGGACAAAAGGGGAGAAGAGGCCCCCAGTTATTAAAACATCTATCTCCTCTTACAGAAGAATCTGGATCAAAAGTGGGGGACGAGGGTGTGGAAAACAATTTCAAACTCTTAAAACATCCAGATTTTTGAAGCTATGGAGGTTGGTTATACCCCTGAAATGACCTCCTAATTTGTTGTGCCCGTCCTGGAGTCTTAAAGCTTGCAAGCAGCCATTTCAAGGTACAAAAATATTGGTTTGCATTTGCCAGGAGCAACAGCAACTACGCCTTCAGCATGAGACCAGAACTGGACAGTTCCCCACTGCCATTACTGATCAAAAGGGGGGAAATGTAGAACATAATGTTAAAATGATGGAATCCAGACTTTCTGGAGCCATGAAACCTGGACTGCATCCCCCCACCCCAACACCAAACTTGGTCTATGATAATGATAATCTTTGAATCTTAAACCAGAACTATCTCCTGAAGTCTTCTTAAGAGCAAATAATAGTTTAACTAGTAGAAGGAGAAAAGAAAAGGGTCTGCCTTGAGCATTATGCCCTTTGAAGAACTATCTACCTGGGATCACACTGACATCAACCACCCGTGAGACAGGACACTCGGGGGGCCAGTGGGTTTGTTAATGGTGAGGGAAACTCAGAAAAGGCGGGTTGCACAACCCGAAGAATGTGACCAGTGTCACTGGATTATTCAGGTAAAACTAGTTGAACTGATATGTTTTGCTGTGCATATCCTGGTATGCGGCTATGGGAGAAGTACTGGACTGCTCCCTGCAGGGTCGGCGGTTCAAACCCACCAGCCACTCCTCAGAAACCCTGTTGTTGTTGTTGTTATGTGCTGTGGAGTCGGTTCCAACTCATAGTGACCCAGTACAGGGTTTCCGAGGCTGTAAATCTTTACGGGAGCAGAAAGCCTCATCTTTCTCCCACGGAGCAGCTGGTAGTTTTGAACTGCTCACCTTAAGGTTCACAGCCCGATTTGTAACTACTATGCTACCAGAGCTCCTCAGAAACCCTACACAGGGTGGATATGAGTCAGAAGCGACTCAATGGCACTTAACAACTACATCCTTAACAAGAACAAAATAAATGTAAAATAAATAATGATGATGCTAGTGATGAGGAGTACAGTACCATTGAAGATAGGAAGAAGAAACGAACACAAAATCATATAATATCAAATTGACTGCAGCAACTTGAGAGATTATATGAGACCCTTGGGGGGGTGTTTATGTTAATGGAGGGAAAAATCAGAAAAGGAGAGTGAGGATGCTTGCACGAGTCAAGGGATGTAGCCAGCCACTGAATTGTGCATGGAAAAAGTGTTGAATTGGTATATGTTCTGCTGTATATACTCCCAGCACCAAACGGAATGAGTCTAAAACAAAATCAAGCAAAAATATCTACCTCTTCTAGAGCTTATGGGTCTCTCAAGTCTTAGACCCTGTTCTTCATCTCCAGGACTCTGGTGAATCCCTATCAAGACCTTTCCCCTATCCAAAATACAACAGATTCTTGTTGTCCGTGGTGTGGTAGTATGTTTGATCTATAAAGTCCCTGTGTACACTAAATTAGTAAATACCAAACCAACCTTGTGAGTGCAATGCAAATTTCTTGCTGTTCTGTACATGTCTGTAAATGATCATGAAAGCCCCTCAAGTACAGATTTTGGGGTGACAGGTACATTTTAGCAGGTAGGTGGATTTACAAATATACAAAATGAAGAGCGACTGCATATCACAGGTCCATCCATTTCTCTCCTTCTCCCTCATCTTCCCGGGAAGACACAAGCCACTGCCATCTAGTCAATTCCACTTGATAGCCACCCTCCATAAGGTTTCCGAGACTGGAAATCATGATGGGACAGACAGCTGAGCTTTCTTCTACAAAGTGGTCACTAGGTTTGAACCACCAACCTTGCGATTAGTAGCCCAATGCCCAACCCACTGTGCCATTAGGCCTCTTGAAATAACCATCTAGATGGAATCTGATTCTGTTCCTGTCCCCTCGTAACTCACCTCCTTACAGCAGCCTGAATGAACTTTTGAAAATGTAAACCATAAAAGTCATTCTCCCCTCAGAATCTCCCGAGGACTCCAATTGCACTTCAGATCCAAAATGATAGCCATAACTTCTTATACCTGTGACCGGAATCCTGCTTTTCTCTGACCCCAGTGTAAATACATGCCAACACACAGCTGACGTCTGTCTAAATTTAGCTCCTCTCCACCACTTCCCAAAATGCCCACTTCGCACTTTTTATTTATTTTATAGTCCCTAGGGTGTGGTGCTGTGGGTTAATGCGCCAGACTGCAAAGCCGTTTGAATTGCAAGGTCGGAGGTTCAAGCTCACCAGCCGCTCCTAGGAAACCCTGTACCGGGTCGCTATGGGTCGGAATCGACTCGACGGCACTTCACAACCACAACAACAACATCACAATACTATTGCAGCCCTGCATAGACTGCAACCTTCAAGAGAACACAGTTCTTGTTCATCTCTGTCCACAAAGGAGGAACTCGATTAATGCTTGTGGAATGATTAAATGTTCTCCGTTACTCTCCAATTTGTAGGAGGTTCCGAAGTTACTGTGTAGAGCAAGCATTGCTCGCTCAAAATTCCTCCCTTGGGCATTGAGTCACACCACCCAGACGCTTGCAGAGTCATCCCTTCCCCCAATATGGGTGCCCCAGTCATACCCTCCCCTTGTCTTTCACGGTCACCTTTTCAATCTTCCATCCAAGTCCACGAGGATCAGAGTGTCTCTGAGACTCCGCCCCTATTAAGTCTCCGCCCCTAAAGATCCCAAAGCAATGCCCCCAACTGCCCGCACTGGATTCAGCCCCGCCTCAGATGGTCCATTCCAACCCCAGCGGACTTCATTCTCTAATCCCGCCCACATAGACCTGCCTCCAGCCCCTCCCCGCCCATAGGCTCCTCCCTAATTCCCGCCTCCAAATTATTCTCTGCCTTCAACAACAAAGTTCGTCTCTTAATTCCGCCCTCAGATCCTCCTCTTCATATCCATATGCTCCACCCACAAAATCTCCCCAGCCATAGGGTTCCCTCTAAACCCCGCCTCAAGCCCTCCCCTCGATACCCATAGGTTCCTCTAAAGTCACGCCCCCAAGCCTTCCCCACCCTCACCACCGAAAAGCTCCGCCCCCATGGCTAGAGCCCTAAACACCTCCCCCACTCCCATCATAGGCCACGCCCCCTGACCCGCGCCCACCTCCCGCCTCGAGCCCCGCGCCCAGATCCCTTCCTCGCCCGCACCAGGTCCGGTGACTCCGGAGATCGGGACTCCGAGGTCGATGAGCCGGGACTCTGGGGCTGTGGGCGCGCGGCAGCCATCTTGTGCCCAGACCCCGCCCCTTCGGGGGCGGGGTTAGGGCTAGTAGTTGGGCGACTGCGCAGACGCACTGGAGGCCGGCAAGGTGGGGTGGGGATGGCAGCTCTGAGGGAACCAGTCTCAAGCTGTGTCCCGTCATTCCTCCCGGAACAAAGAAAGACTCAGTTCGATGCTAGGATGTCTGGGACACCCTATAAACAAATTCTAGTTTCCCTTTATGGAAAACTGGAAAATTTAAGCAGACTCGAGGATCCAGCGGGATTTAATAACGTTTGTTTTCATAGCATTCACACACACGTTTTCATAACGTTTTAACGTTACCTTCTCTGTAAGATACGGTCGTGATGCAGTTTATAAGTGTGAGGTTTTGAGAAAGTCAACAAAAGATTCGGTAAACAATAGTACAGATGGTCCTCGACTGTAGAAAAAGGTCAAGAAATCGGTGGTTGTTGTTGTGAGGTGCCATAGCGACCCTGTATAAGGTTTCCAAGGAGCGGCTGGTGAGCTTGAACCGCCGACCTTGCGGTTCAAACGGACTTTGAAGTCCAGCAGCATTAACTCGCAGCACAACACCAGGAAATCAGTAGGGGTTTTGAAAAACGTTGTTTAGGAGGAAAGAGCTCAAATAAATGCTTTTCGGCAGCACCAAGGACAGGGCTGGGACTTGCCTTTGGTGTTACTTGCCATGCATTGGATTTCTGACTCATGGCGACCACGTGTATGCAGCGTAGAATTACATCATAGGGCTTTTCAAGATTGTGCCCTTTTGAAAGCAGACCGCCAGGCCTTTCTTCTGAGGAACCTCTGGATGGGTTCGAGCAGCCAACCTCTCTGCTAGTAGTCTGTTGGAGTGTTTGTTCCACCCAAAGATTCCTGATTTTAAGATAGCCTATGGCATCAAGGAGCTCTGGTAGCGTAGTGGTTACGAATCGGGCTGCGAACCTTAAGGTCAGTGGTTCGAAACTACCAGCTGCTCCGCGGGAGAAAGATGAGGCTTTCTACTCCCGTAAAGATTTACACCCTCGGAAACCCTGTACAGGGTCGCTATGGGTCGGAACCGACTCGATGGCACAACAACAACAACAACATGGCATCAACAATGGCACAGTCAGTTCTTGGCTGTAGTAAGGCTCAAGAACTTGGTAGGACATTTGAGAAATGCTGATGAGGAAAGAGCTCAAAGACAATGGCTTCCGGCAGCGCCAAGGACAGAGCTGGGTGCCCTCTGGTTGATTTTCTCCTTCATGATGACCAAGTGTGTGCAGAGTACAATTGCTCCATAGGCTTTTCAAGGCTATGAACTTTGAGAAACAGATTGCTAGGTTTGTCTTCCAAAGTGCCTCAGGGTAGGTTTGAGTGGCTAACCTCTAAATTAGCAGCTGAGTGTGTAACTAACCATTAATCAGTGACTCATTCGCATCCATTGGATAAGTCACCACACTTCTTTGCTCTAAGCTTTCTCCCTTATCAAACTGTAAAGGTGCCGTGAACATCCTCTGAGAGAAGAGATATGAAGAGTTTTAGAAGACCCTACAATTCTCTTCTTGGAAGGACAGAGTAGGAGACATGCACACTTTTATGACCACTCCTCAACGTTCTGTTTATCCACCTTCTTTGGGATATGATATGATTGTTCTGTCCTGTTTTCAAGGTTCATCCATGTTGTTAATGAATAAATGGAATATAGCATAATCAATGATAGAATATCAAATCAGCATTGCTAAGGAATGCTGGATGCTGCTGAGCCTATCTATTCTGACTCATGGGGACCCCAAGTGACACAGTAGAACTGCCCCCATTGGGTTTCCTAGGCTGTAATCTTCCAGGAAGCAAATAGCTCTTTCTCCTTCAGAGCCAGTGGATGGGTTTGAACAGATTTTTTGTTTAGCAGCCAAGTACTTAACCATTGCACCACCGAAACTCTGTAGAGCTACCCTATGACCCCAGATGTCCACTCTCAGGTGTGCACCCAAGAGAAATGGAAAATCATTGCCACATAAAAGCTTGTATTTGAACATTCATAGCAGCGTTAGTCATAATAGCCAAAAGGTAGAAACAACTCGAATGTCCGTTACTTGGTAGGTAGATAACCAGAATGTGATGTATTCAGCTAATGAAATATGTTTGCCTTAAAAAGGAATGCGGTGTTACCACAAGCTGAAACACAGATGAAGCCGGAAGACATTATGTTAAGTGAAAAAGTCAGTAACAAAAGGCCACATATTGTATGATTTCATTCATATGAAATGTCCAAAACAGGAAAATCTTTAGCAGCAGAAAATTGATTAGTGGCTTCAGAGGGCTGGGGGTGGGGAGAGGCAGTAGCTAAAGGGTACGGAGTTTATTTTTAAGGTGATGAAAATGCTCTAAAATTGTGACAATACTTACATATCTGTGAATATACTAAAAAGCAATGTATTGTACTTAACATGGGTGAAGTGCATGGCATATAAATTGTTGTTGTTGTTAAGTGCCATCGAGTCAGTTCTGACCCATAGCGACCCTGAACAGGGTTTCCGAGGCTGTAAATCTTTACAGGAGCAGAAAGCCTCATCTTTCTCCCGTGGAGCAGCTGGTAGTTTCGAACTGCTGGTCTTGCGGTTCGCAGCCTGATTTGTAACCACTAAGCTACCAGAGCAGATGAGGCATGTAAATTACAGCTCCATAAAACTTGGCCTTTTTTCTTTTTAAAGAATTAACTGAACACAATCTTTCACAGTCAAGCTGTAGGTCATATTTACAAATTATCGTCTGTGTGGTGGGAGTGGCACTGTAGGATAAGCAGTGGACTGCTAACCACAAGGTCAGTGGTTCAAAATCACCAATTGCTCCTCGAAAACTCTGTCACAGGGTCACTGTAAATCTGAACCAACTCAACGGCCCTTGACAACAAAACCAACATGGTGAGGGTAAGGAGTCCCGGTTAAGCACTTGGCTAATTAAAAGGTTGTTGGTTCCCAGTCATCAGCCCCTCTGCTGAAGAAAACTGAGAAAGCCCATGAAGATGACAGAGTTGGAAGTCCTATAAGATCATTTGAGTAGAAATTAACCTGAAGACAATGAGTTTGTGGATTTAGGTTGGTTCGTTTGTTTTGATGGTGAGTATTGGTCTGTAGGTGGTGCCAGTGGCTTGGTTTCAGTGGCTAATAGAAAGGTTGGGCATTTGAACCTGCCAGGCAGCATTAGAGAAGGGAGTCCCAGCAATCTGTCTTCATAAAGATGACAGCCAAAAAAACTCTGGGGGGCGCGGGCAGTTCTACTCTGTAACACAGGGGACACCATGACTTGGAATCAATTGTATACTGATGTTCATAGTGCAGTTCTTTTGACTTTCCTTTGAAACTTTTTCACAATAAAATGTTAGGGCAGGCCCACCTATAGACTATTTTTTTAGATGTGATTTTTTAAAACCTCAGAGCAATTCCATGGATAATTCTCATTTGACTGTAAGTTCCCTGAAGGTAAATTGATGTTCTTTGTCATTTCCTGCTGCATCCCGGGTACCCACATTAGTGACTGGGATGTTACATTCAACAACCTTTATTGAATTAATGAACCAATACATAAATGTTTGAAGGAATCACTAGCTGGTGACAATGGGTGCCTGAAGTCCTAAGCCAATGGTGATATTCAAAGTTGTATAGATGATCTTCGATCCTTTCTGTTGGCTCTTCAAATAACAACAGAAACATTAACAAAAATAACAGCTGTTTACTGAGAGCTTCTGGAGAGCAATGCAGGGACAGTCTAGGTTTTGTGAGGTGTGAAGTTTATACAATTAAGATATACAAAGTTAAAAATATAAACTAAGATATACACGTCAATGTTTATGAGAAAATCATTCCCAACCAATTGCAAAGTGTAAATGATGACAATTACCATATGCCATCCCAAATTCTTAAAATATACACAATATTTTTATTAATATCCCTGCCTGACACAGCTCTGCAAGACATCTTCTTTACATTCCTTCATCAGCTCAAATTCATAAGGTAATTTAATATTTTTAAATAAAGGGAATAGAAAGGTAATATTTCCTTTAATGTGGTTTATAAAAACATTTTTACTGACGATGGTTTAAGAAGGCTTTGTTTTAGATTCACACTGTTGTAATTTATTTAAAAACTTCTTATTGTGAATTAGGTGAAAGTTAACAGACAAGATCACTAACTCTACATTCAACAAAATAGATGCTTAGTTTCATCTCAGTGATTACAAACAATCCCCTCCCTGTACAACAGTTATCCTACCTTCCTATTACATCTTATATTTCACAAATGAACAAAGCAAAAATATTTGATGTACATAATCAATATGAAAAAAAATATATTCATTTAAATGTCCTAAGGGCAGATTCTGCAAGCCAGCTTCCTGCCCCAGCCACACAGGCTTGTTCGTTCAGTCCAAAGGCTTAAAGCCAGCATGTGCTGTTTCTCCACGCCATCGCCTTGGTCACCGTCTCTGCTCTCGTTACTTTTATAGGTGGGATCTCACACTCCACTCAAATTCTTCCTTCTTGATGGTCTTGGGACTGTTGTAAAGTTTTAATGTTGTGTAATTTGGGGGAATCTTTTTTTTTTACGTGTGAATATAAGGTTGCAGAACATTGCAAGCTTACTTGAATAGTTAAGTGCCGACGAATCGGTTCTGATTCATAGCGACCCTGTATAGGGTTTCCAAGGAGTGACTGGTGGGTTTGAACCGCCAACCTTGTAGTTTAAACCGACCTTGCAGTCCGGTGCTCTCTCCTACAGCAAGAACTCTTCTTAAGTGATCTTTGAATTGTCATCACTCATTAAGTACGTGAGGAACCTCTGAGAAATAAATTTCATTAGCTTCATGGAAATTTCACCTCTGCAGCTACACTTAACTATGTTTCAAAGAAAAGAATTTACATCTGCTTTGAGCTGCTAACCAGCAAAGTCTGTGTTTTGAAACCACTAGCCACTCCGCTACGCAAAGACGAGGCTGTTTGCTCTTGTAAAGATTTACAGTTTGGGAA